GCCTGCACATTCTTATTATAAACTGGGGCGCCCTCATGTGCCTTGGGTCCTAGCACAGTCCCTGGTGAGTATGGTCCCACGTGTGCCTGCAGGGCTGCCTGCTGGGGAGGCCAGCACAGTCTGATATAGTTCCTGCTGTTAAATGCCAGGGACCTTGGTGCCACAGCCTGATAAGCACTGGACTGCCAGCCTCCAGGTCAGTGGTTCAAACCCACCAGCCGCTCTGAGGGAGAAAGATGAGTCTGTCTGCTCCCATAAGATTTACAGCCTGGGACTAGGGATTGGGTTTAGTGTCCATTTGACATTGAATAGGCTGGTTGAAGGAGGGTCTCCATATGCCTAACACCCTGCTCAGCACAAACAAACCAAACCTAACCGTCAACTTGATTCTGACTCACAGCGACCCTATAGGGCAGAGTAGAACTGCCCCATAGGGTTTCCAAGGCTGTCCTGTTTACGGAAGGAGGTCTAGTGGTGTAGTAGTTACGTGTTGGGCTGCTAATAACCACAAGGTCAGTAGTTTGAAACTACCAGCCTCTCTATGGAAGAAAAACGAGGCTTTTTACTCCCGTAAAGAATTACAGTTTCACAAACTCACAGAGGCAGTTCCACCTTGTCCTGTGGGGTCAGACTCCACTGGATGCCAGTGAGCTTGGAGTCTTGACAAGCGACTGCCACATCTTTCTTCCCTGGCGCAATGCCGCTGGTGGGCTTGAACCAAAGACCTTTAGACAAGCAGCCAAGCACTTAACCACTGCCGCCATCAAGGCTCCTTCGTCGCAAATAGCCACTGCCATCAAGTTGATTCTAACTTGTAATGAACCCCACAGGACGGTCTGGTTTCTGAGACTATTCAGGACAGCAGACAGCCTCCTCTTTCTCCCGCCCAGCAGCTGGTGGGTTTGACCTTACAGAGAAGCATGGCAATCGTGAGAGCCGGAGAGGTGGGAAGGGGGCTGTGGGAGTTTGTGAAAAGTCCGTTGGAAAACAATGTGTTTGTGCCCCCTGCTGGCTGGGAGCAAAGGTGCTGGCTTGGCCAACTCAAGCTCAGGTGGCCTCAGGGGGCCCCGGGTTAGCTGCAGCATCAAGTAGCCGGAGGCTGCATCACAGAGCACCCAAGTGTCAGGCTTTGGTGGGGATGCAGACAGAGTGGCAGGTAGGTGACATTCCTGGAGTCGAACTCATAGAGACCACGACTCTGGGTGAGCCCCCTCATTGGACAGAAATGACTCTGGGTTCCCAATGCGGGACAGAGCACAGGGCTCTTGGACTGATAGCTTGGGAGGGAATGTAGTGGTCTAGTCCACAGTAGCCTCCAGAAAGGAGAGGGTGGAGATCTCAGGGACTCGGTCTTTTGGGGGGCACTAAAAGTCATCTCCAACAGCTTCCCTTTGAACCTGAGCTGCTTGGTTCCTGTGGTGTCTGGTCTCCCCAGCTTCCCTCAGCCACCTGGTGTTACCCCGCAGACCCCCCAGCCTGGCTGCTCTGGGTCATGGTGGAGCCCTAAGCTCTAAGGAGAGGTCATCAGAGTGGACGTGGGAGCATTGGGTAAACAGGAAGAGCTGCCCAAACAGTGACCTGCGCTGCAAGTGGGCCTCCAGGCGAATCCTTGGCCCGCAGGCCTGGGATGAGCTGGACTGACCAGCCTCACGGCATTGCCCGGACAGAGCGGGGGCAGGAATTGTTCCTCTTCCGAGAAATGTTCTTCCCAGTAAGACCCCCTCCCCGCTCTCAGGAACCTCAGGTCTCAGCCAGGTGCCCCTGCCCGTACCTGCAACCTTCCTGGGCTCCTGCTGTCCCCCGGCCACTGGGCAATTCTTGTCTGACTTGACAATCCGATGGACTTGGTGGCAGGGAGCTTGGTTTGTTTGAGTTCAGGCAGTTGGGAGTGCGTTGTCTCCGTGAGTTTTATTAACATCCGCAACCACAGTCATCAAATTTCCAACCCCACCGGCCTTTATCGCTCACGCTAAAGGGCTTGCATGCTCCCTCTCTAACACGCGCGCACGCATGCACAGACGTGAAGACCGGAAACTGGTGGGTGCTGGAGGAACGCTTGAACACCGGTTCCAAAACCCAGACCCCGCTGGTCCAGGTCACTTTTGGAGGCGGCCTGCAGTCTCTTCTCACTCCGCTTGGGTGGGTGTGCGCGTCTGTAGTCATCCACCTGACATTTTCCATGAGCCGGTGCCAGGGATGGAAGCAATGGCCGTGAAAAACCAGGTACAAATCCCTGTCCACGTGGGCGCGTATGCGCACGCGCGGGCGCACATCTGCACAAGAAAGGTTCGGTGTGTGAGGCCAGAAAAGTAAATGGATGGCTATATGCGCTATGGAGAATACCAAAGCCAAGGGGCTCGGGCGCCCTGGGCTGTAGCTGTGTGTGGCCCAGTTGGTTCTAACTCACAGCGCCCCTGCAGGGCAGAGTGGAACTGCTCTGTAGGGTGCATTCCACTTAAGTACATATGACTCTTGCCTGCAGATCAGCTCCTGCGGTTTGATCGGCCCACCTTTCGGTTAGCAGCTGAGCACTTGGCCAGGAGGGCTCCTTCCCTAGGAGAGAGGACAATTTTAAGGAGGGGACTGGGAAGTCTCACTAAGAACGCAGGTGGCGTTAAGTGGGACCTGCAGGAGGGAAGTGAGTGCGTCCTGTCGCCGGTGGAAGAGTGCTGGAGGCAGGGAGAATGGCCGCCCCGAGGCCCTGAGGTGGCCAGTGTCCGGTGGCCAGAGAGTTTGGTTCTGCAAAGAACAACGGGAGGGCTGGCATCGGAGGCTTGAGAGGCAGTGGGAGGGGCGCGCTGTGTCCACCTTGGAGGGCATTGGTGTTCACCAAGTGGGATGGGAGCCATCGCAGGGGCTTCAGCAGATGGGGGACATCATCTGTCTGCTCTGTCACAGGGTCACTCTGGAGAGGGCAAGGATGGGAGCGCAGGGGCCCCCACTGAAAGAGGCATGGAGGTGGAGGGGGCTGGAGGCTGGGATGGCGGTTGGCCTGGTGGGAAGGGCCTACGTGTGGCTGTGCTCTGCAGGCTGGGCTGAGGAGGAGGAGAAATCGTTCCTTTGGCTTTCTGCCGGTGTTTCTCTTCAACGACTAGCTCTTCAGATCTGCAGGGGAGGAGCCATGTTCAGCCATGTATACTCACAGACGCACTTGAACACAACAACCCGTTCCGTGTCCAGTGCCAAGTCCCACCCAACTCCAAAGGGAAAGAGCCTTACACTCCACGGGCAGCGGTGTGCTGTGAGGACCAGACACTTAACAGACTCCTTGGATTCAATGTTATTATTAACCAAATACAGTCCAAGGTCACCTACACTCCCCTTTCAGCCAACAGGGTTCACTTCTGCCCTCTCTCGAAAGTTCAGAAATGAACACCTATCTCGTCAGTAGGTCAAGATAAAGTTCTGTTTAGGGAAAGGTGGTGGGGAGAGGCTCATCGGGGTAGGCTTCCTGGAGGAGGAATTCGGCAGACGTCCTTTCTTTTCAGATGAAGAAGCCAGGGCTCAGACATTAAATACTCACTTGAGATCACAAAGCTAGAAAGTAGCAGAGAAACATTTACATCCATGTCAGTGGGTCTCAGAAGCCTCTGCCCTTTCTAGGGCACTGCACTGCCATGGTGACAGAGGAGCGTGGTGGCTATTCATGCAAGGACCCAGGACAACATGGTCTGAACAGCTGTCCCTCAGTCAGGGCTGAGCGTGGGGCAGTGAACCATGCCCTTGCCTCATTAATAATCACAGACTCTCAGTGTGAATTGAGGGTAAGCAACATGCCAGACCTTGTGCACCGGGTTACCCGCCTCCCCCATTTACTTATTCTTTTTTAAAATTTTTGTTTATTTTAAATGTATTATTGTTTAGGGTTTTATATGCATGATCTCATTTAACCCTTGTTTCACAAATCAGGAAACGGAGGCCTGCCGAGGGTACTGGACATACCTGTGAGTGTCAGAAGCGTCAGACAAGACTACAGGTGTTTCCGTTATCTATTACTGCGTAGCCACCCTTCCCAAGACAGCACTGTTTCTCATGATTCTATGAGTCATAACTGTGGGCAGGGCTCCGCTGGCTGGTTCTTCTGCTCACCTTGGCTGCATTCAATTGATGGCTAGGCTGGAGTGGAGTGACCCAGTGTCTTCTCTCACATACCGGTGCCTCGGTGCTTTTTACACAGCCTCCCCATGAGGCCAGGCATAGTGATTTCAGGGCGGTCAGATGTCTTACATGGCAGCTGGCTTTCAAAAGAATGAAAGCAGAAGTGGCCAGGCTCCTTAAAAGTCTTGCTGTGAATAACGAGGGCAACAAATGTACAGATGTGCTCTACACAATTGATCTATGTATTGTGATGAATTTTATGAGCCCCAATAAATTGATTAGAAAAAAAAAGTCTTGCTGTGGACTTAGGAAGTGTCTCTTTGATCACATTCGGCGAGTCAAGGCAAGTCACAAGGCCAGCACAGATTCAGATGGAGGAGACTTAGGCGTCACTGCTTGTGAGTGGAGCAACATGTACCTGTAAGAAGGAGAAGAGACTTAGCCTGCCATCACTAGAGACTGCCCCCCATGCTTCCTCGTTGTCAGCTGTGTGCTCTTTCTTCCTGCTTAGTCCCAGGAAGCTCTTATGTTCAGGACCTCATTGATGCCTGCTCGCCCCAAGTATAAGGAGCCCTGGTGGTGTCCTGGTTATGTTTGGGGCTGCAGTCCTCATGGTGGGAAGTCCAAAGCCGCCAGCAGCTCTGAGGCAGAGCGCCTGGGCTTTCTACTCCTGTAAATAGGCACAGTCTCAGAAAGGCACAGGGGGGTTGGGGTCACTACGACTCGATGGCAGTGAGGTGGGTTTATTTTTGTTAACTCTGAGTATAAGGCACATGGGTAAGTTTTATCTGACTGGCCTCCTACCTAATGCCTCCTCTGCCAGGTGCCTGGCTCCAGGGTGGTTTCACAGTGTTTGCCTGAGCTGTCTATTTGATGTTTAACCATTTCTGCTGCTTTCCCAGGCTCCCTTGCTGACGTCAACTCAAGCATGTCCCCTCCCCAGGAACCTGAAAAAACCTAACGCAAGCTCCATGACTTCCAGGCATTTTGCCCCCTGAACCAGGCGAGGGCCATACCTGCCCTCAGGGTCATCTTGATAGACCAAGATCCAGCAGAGGACCCGTCCCAGCTGAGATGGAGAAACAGGATTTCCTGGTGCTGGAGTTCTGCGTTTTTCCCAGGACCTTGAAGGAAAGGTCTGACTTCCAGGGCTTCAGACATGGAGGTCATCTGGGAATATGGTTAGGAATGCAGCCCTCCCACCTCCACCTGTTGAACCAGAATTTGCATCTTCACAAATCCTCAAGCATTGCACCTGTGCTGTAAAGCTTGAGACAATGGAGGCAGGAGGTAGAGGGCAGGGACAGGTTGGGAGGACAGATGTCAGGGCGGCTGAGCTGAAATGAAAAGATCTCACACCTGGCTGACTGCCCTGATCCTCGGTGGTGGTTTAGAAACCAAATCCTGAAGCTCAGCATGCGGCCGGGAGCAACGACGGAGGTCCACATCTCCATGGCTTGACCCCAGACTCCAGAATGTTCTATAAGCATCTCTGGCGATGTTAGCGGGCAGTTGGCCTTGGCTACCCAGTGTGGCTGTCGCAGAACAACAACAAAGGAGCGCCTTGAACGAACACATTTCTCTCCTCAGCACATCTCAGCTCCGGCTCCTCGGCTCGGCTTCCTCACTCGCTTGTTGAGTCATATCTCAAAAGAAACCGACTCAGATACATCCTGCACCAATTCTCCTTCCTTAAACATAAGACAGACCACCCCTTCCCTAATGGATTAAAACTCCAAGCCTACCTACCCGCTCTCTTTGAGGCTGGCTCACAATGACCCTGTGGCTTGGTGGGGTAAGTGGGGAGCCCACAAAGCTCAATCCATATTAGGTGAGGGTTTCTTAAGCTGTGCTCTGAGCGCTATCTGCATTCAAACCACTTGGAGGTGGGGAGGTGTTCTTAAATATGCGGATTCCGGGAAACCTACATCAGGCCTTTGCGTCTGAACTTCCTAGTGTGGGCCCCGGGGAATCCACAGTGTTCGCCATCTCACCTGGTTGCTTTGAACACACACTGATCATTGAGACCATTGGGTTAGCATCCTAGATCGGCGACCATGGCAAGAAGCTTTTTTTAAATGCAATAAATAACAAAACCAGAAACCCTAAGTCCAGGGCTCTCAGGTGGATTCTGACTCAAAGGAGCCCTATAATAGGGCATAGTGGACCTGCCCCCTTCCAAGGCTGTAAACCTTTAGGGTCGAAGTCTATCCCATCTGTGTCCCATGGAAAGGCCGGTCGGTTCAAACTGACTATCTGTTAACAGCTAAAAGCTTAACTTCTGGCCACCAGGGTTCCTTCCCTCACAGGTTCGAATAATGTGTGAACAGGAGAAGACACAGCTATGCCCCAATACAAGACAACAACAAATCACCATCCCCTACCTCCCAGACACTCGGGAGGCCCCATGGGTACCCAGGGAATGTGCCCCCCACATGCAGAGGTCATTTGTGATTTGGGCTCTCTTCTGTTGGCAGGGTGGAGCCTGTCATCTGGCCCGGACAGAATTATTGCCTCAAATTACATGGTTGATTATCAATTACTTGTGTCCGTACTGAGCATGTGTGCGTGTGTGCATAAGTGTCTTTGCAAATCATTAAGGGTCGTAATTCTGGATTATCGTTGATTAACGAGAGGGAGGCCTGGTACCTCCAGCAGCCGGGATGGCAGCCCTGCAATTATGTCCCAGCTGATCAGTAATTGGCGCATCACAAAATGATTTCTCTCCCCGCTGCCTCCTCCCCACCTCTCCTGCCCGCTCCACAATTAGCACCATTGCTCATTCCCTTCAAGCCCAGGCTGAGTTCAGAGGCCTGGTTTCTGGCAAGCAGATGCTGGCGGGGCTGGCTGGGAGGCACCACCACCAAACTGGCCGCTGGATATCAGGAGTGGGGAGGTGGCAGAGGTGCAGGGTGGGAGGAGCAACTGACACGCTGGCTTGTCTACTGCTGCTTCTAGTGGCACTGTGACTCCTCCCAGCAAGGCCAGTAGCTGTTCCCCATCTTCCTGCCTGCATCCCCACCGCGCGGATGGGGAAAGCGAGACCCAGAGAAGGAAAGAGAGAAGTTAGGAGTAAAACTACACCCAGCTCCCAACGCAATCGTTCCAAACAGCGTGGCACCTGAGCCCGAGCCCACAGCCACGGGAAAGCACAGAACAGAACAAGGCCCGCCGGGCTCCGGAGACCGGGAGGGAGCCTTTGGTGGACTCTTCCTGCAGGAGCACCAGAGACCGCAAATACCAATGGCCCTCGGCTCATCACCAGCTCCTGGTGCCAGCCGCTGATTCTTCCAGAAGTAAACTGCCAGACGTTTCTTCTGTGGGGCCTCGAGTGGACGTAAGCCTCCAACCTGTCAGAGAGCAGCTGAGTGCATGAACCCTGTGCCCAGCCCAGAGCTTCCCCGTCAATATGGGCCAAACCAAACTGCTGGCATCTGGCTCCTGGGGACTCTTTGTGGTACAGAGGGCAGGTGTCTGTAAGCTGTTCCTGACAGTCATCTTCACAGAAGATCACCCCTTTTGGCGGTGGCGTAGATGGGAGGGAGGGAGGGAGCCACGAGCCTTTCGTTAGCCGCTCACACTGTAGCCACAAGGCGCCAAGTAGAGGTGGCCAAGGGGGTGAGGGGCTGGAGGCTCACAGGGCACTGAAGAGGTGGGAGATGGAGTTAGTTCACGATGGCAGCATTTCCCACCTGAATGACGATGGTAGCGTCTTCACCACTCCCCACTTTGAGATTGGGTCCCCCGATCCACCCCACAAGGAACCTTGCTGGGCACAGTGGTTAAGTGCCAGGCTACGAACCACAAGGTGGGAGTTGGAAGCCATCAGCCGCTGCCATGAGGGATAAAGATGCAACCGTGAGCTCTACTGCTCTAGAGCCGCAAGGTGAGTGGGAATCGGGTCCACAGCAAACTTGGGTTGGGATTAGCCACCGCCTTGAGGTGCCTGGGTGGCACATCGGTTGCGCGGCTCATCAAAAAGCACGCCGAACAAGGCAACAGACAGACAAGGCAACCCCCAGACCCCCGTGGTGGGGTTCTACCCTGTCACATGGCGCCGCTGTGCGTCAGTATTGCTTCCCCCTGCACCAACAGCAAACACACCATCTAGCCCCTTGGGGTGAGCCCTGGTCGTGTCTTGGTTCCTCGTGGGACTGCTAACCGTAAGGTCAGCAGTTCGAAACCACTATCCGCTCCGAAGGAGCACAACGAGGTGTTCTACTCCTGTGAAGGCTGACACCCGCAAGTGCAGTCACCGCGTGTCAGAACCGATTCCCCGGCAGCGAGTTTGGTTTTTGGGAGGGAATCACGTTGGCCATAGATCTTCATCATGGGCCCGTCTTACTCCTCCAAAGAGCACCTCCCCACCCCCCCATACACCAGACCTCAGTTTCCTTTCCTGCGCCATCCCCACGTCACGAGCCACCAGGATCCCTCCGCGCCCTGGACCACCCCTGCTGAGCCGAGTGGATCCCTCCGCCAGAAGACCCTTCCTCTGCTCTGTCTTCCTTGCACCTGGGCAGCACCCAGTGGGAGGCCACGACCTGAGCCCCTGCGCCTGGGCGCCCCTCCTGAGACGGGCTTTCCCCTCCCTGGGAATCGGGGTACAGAAGCCTCGAGGGGAGGGGTAGTGCCATCTTGAAGGGGGAAGGAGTGCTGAGCCGGAGACCTTCCCGGTGGCTGCGAAGCCACCTGGGCCATTTGTCTTGGAGCCTTGCAGCTGTCTCGGCCATTTTCATTTTTATCTACTTAGGGTGGTCAGCAGGTCACGGCGGCGGGAGACGCAGTGCTAATGACTCCGGCTCCACGTGGCGGCCATTCAGGAAAAAGCTGCAGAGCTCTCTCTGCCACATTAATCAGAGGCGCCCAGCCAGAGCTGCTGCGTGGGGACAGCTTTCCTGCGGGCACCTGCCCTGCATACTGATCAGCACCTCCTCCCGGCGGCGGTGAGTCAGCTCCGCGGCAGGCCAGCACCATCCACGTGGGGGGAGCAGCCGGGCTGTGGTAGGAGACCCTGGCCTTGTCTCCTTGTCAGTCTTAGTTGGCAAGATCCCCTGAAATCTATTTAGCATCCGGCAACACCCCAGCCTCCTCTCACCTGGAGGTGCAGCCGCGGGTGGCGGCTCTGTGCTGCTCCAATCCCCTGGCTGGTGCCATTGGACTCATGGTGACCCCCTGGGACCCAGTAGAATTGCCCCCATCACCAGTCCATCCTCCCGAGGAATCCCTGGGTGTCTTTAAACCTCTAGCCTGCCAGCCAGCAGCCGAGCACTTAACCACTGCGTCACCAGGGCTTATTTTAATAACTGTCCACAGTACTTAGGGGCCCTGGTGATATAGTGGGTAACGCATTGGGCTGCTAACCGAGAGGTCAGCAGTTCAAGACCACCAGCTGCTCCCAGGGAGAAAGAGGAGGCTTTCTATACTGGGAAAGAGGCAGTCTTGGAAACCCCCAGGGGCAGTTCTAGTCTGTCCTGTAGGGTGGCTGAGTCAGCATCGGCTTGACGCCATGCTAGTGAGTTCCAGTAGTGATTTGCAGGTGCCGTGTGAGTCCTGGGGAGCTTGTTTTGTCCCCCTGAGCAGGGGACATCTGGCCCACAGCCCATACACCCATCAATACCAGCTAGCATCACATGCCTCACCACAGAGCAGTTGCAACCATCACTTCAACAAATAAAAGTCACAACCACTGAGTCAATTCTGACCCACAGCGACCCTACAGGACTCGGGGGAACTGCCCCTGTGGGTCTCTGAGATGGTCACTCTTTACAGGAATGGAGAGTCTCACCACCCCCACCCCCCGCCCCCAGGAGTGGCTGGGTGGTTTCGAACTGCTAGCCCAGCTCGTAGCCCACTATCACGGGGGCTGCTCAGCTGTCACATTAGGGGTGAGTTAATTAAGGGGTGGACCAGCATGGCGTGTGAGTGATGCTGTAAGTATCTGAATAGTCCACGGCAGAAGAAAAGGCTGCCCAGCCCGGCCATATAGGAACTCCAGTGGCCCTGCGGGGTAAGTGCTGGACCCGGCGAGCACAGGGGTGGGCCTCCTTCTCTTCAAGGGGGCAAGGCCAGACTTCCCTGGAGGAAGTGAGAACTATTCCAGGCCAGCTGATACCCAAAATCCTCAACGTGTGCTCCCTGGGCTGACAGCATTCCCATCTCCAGGGAACTTGTGAGAAATGCAAATCTCGGGCCCCCAGCCCAGCCCTGCTGAGTCAGGAGCTCTGGGGTGAGCTGAGCACCGTGTCAAACCAGCCTCCCTGGGGGTTCCGGGGCTTGCACAAACGTGAAAACCCTAGCTTATGCAAAGGCCGAGAGTCAGTGGGATGGGAACGAGAACAACCTGTCCGGGGACGACCGCAGGCGTCTGAGATAAGCTGGACAGGGCTTGGGGACGGGGAACAGGCAGCCCTCCTGGAAGCCTGGACAAGGACACTGTGTGACCGGGCTGGCCGAGGCGGAGGACAGCCCTTGGTCGCTGGGACCTGACACTGTTTTGGCTTCCAGGAAGCTCAGTGCAGACAATGGGTTCCTTTGCTGGGGAAGTGCCTCTGTCCTCAGGCAGGGAAGGAGCCGGGAAGGAAACGCCTTTTCTGCCAGGAACCTTGGCAGCCTCCCCTGGGACCAGTGCGCCAGTGGACCAGCACCGGCACCAGCGGACCTGCAGCCCAAGCCTTTGCCTTGGAGGTGGGTCCGGCTCCTGGCCACCCTGGCGGTTTCAGAGAAGGACCGGGCTCCATGGCGGTGGGTTGGGTTTGTTCCATCTCTGTTATTTCCCTTCCTGGTTTCCACTACCACCCAGACTGTTCGCTCCTCTCTTTCCCAGCTCTGAGAGAAGCACCCATGGCAGTGCCATCAGCACCCCCGGCCTGGTTTCCAGGCAGCCCACCCATCTTTCCTCCTCACCGCAGGTCTGCAGCCTGGCCCTGCTTCCACAAAGGCCCTCGGAGGAGGAGGGAGATGGTGTGCAGAGCTAGGAGGGGCCAGGAGTGCTTCTGGCTGTGGCTGGGCCACTGTCACCACCCCACTTTGACAGATGAAGGAACCAAGTGGTTCAGAGCCCACTCCCTGTCAGAGTGGGATCAGAGCCATCCTAACACCAGCAGGGCTGATTCTCCTGCAGGAAGGGCTGAGCCCTAAGAAGGGGACTGTTGATCCGGCCGGGCCACGGGGATGCCACAGAAAGGGGCCAGGCGTCCATGAAGAGGGACAGAGGCCTCTGACTGTGACACAAACACTTGTGGGAAGGTGTCCAGAGACCTGAGAGGCCAGGAAGACCCTGGAGGCAACCCCAGAGGGAACAGATCAGGAGGGCACAGAGAGCCCAGACTGCAGTGGCCCCCGATACCAGTGCCCTCTTCGGGCATCCAGCAAGAGGTCCTTGCTTGAGCCCCTGCCTTCTATCTTCTGCCTGTTGTCCAGGAGTAAGGGACAAGCCTGCCACGCAGCATGGCTGCAGTAAGGAGCTGGTCAGCACAGCCTGTGGGGCCAGGGGAGGGGGGTAGGACTCACTGGGGTTCCATCTCCCCCGCTACCCCTTGC